AAAAAATATATATTAATATTAATGGTTTTTAATTTAAATATTATAGATTTAACTATTACTATTACATCATGAAATAAATAATACTTTATATAAAATATTTTTTTTGTTCCATTAAACTATATACAATTTCATCACATATAAAATACATTCGATAAGAACTATATTTTTCACAAATTTTTTAACAGCGCAACAATATTAGGTAAAATATAATCAGATATAAAATTGGGATTGCGATCAAATTTTGCAAATGCTACATCATCAAGTGATCTTCGTCTAATTTATGTAGTGTCATGAAATAATATTTAACACTAGCTTTTTTAATAAAATACAATTAAAAATATTTTTTTTTTATTTTGTTGGGTTGGATCCAGTTCAATAACTCTGAACCGGATCAGTCTGACAAGAATAGTAGAGTTATGCTCCACTATTTATGAAATAAAAATAAATAAAACTCATGAATAACGGAGCATGCTCCAGTGTTCATACATTTTATTCCTTACAAGAAGCGGCTGTTAGCGGCTTCTTGTAAACCTATGGCACACCATAGTTACAAGTGGGTCTTATAAAGAAAAACTAATTTTCTTACCTCACCAAACATTAATAGTTGTGGTTGCACCCTTGTGTATTAAACTCATATTCATAGCTTTATTTGTGTCATATTTTTTAATGTTTTACTATAAATAAATTGTTATAGGGCGGAAATATTAATAAATAATAATTATTATCATAATCCAATTTTTGAATAAATAATAAAAATTAAATATAGTTGACAATGGAGTTTAACATAAAATTTGAAGTTTGGGGATGTAATTATAAAATTTGAGAGTTAATGGATCAATTTTAAAAGAATTAAAAGTTAAAGATTTAATTAAGGGTCAAATTAAACAATCCGGAAATTAAAGACTGTTTTGTAAACAGTGTTATAATCTAGGGATTTAGTTGAAAGTAATCCACAAGAAAAAAATTTAAAAGAATTAATTAAGGATCAAATTGAATAATCCAGGAATTAAAGACTGTTTTGTAAATAGTGTACCAATTTTGCGATTTAATTGAAATTAATCCAGACAAAATTAAAAAAACATTAATTGCTTAGGGGTCCAATTGCTGAATTTCCAAAGTTGAGGGGTCAAAATGAAAGAATCCATTGCTGCCGAAACGTCGTCGTTGCAGGTGGAACAGCCGTGTTCATCTTCTCCACCCCGATTCAACAGGCTGAAGATCTGCAACGAAGTCGATCCAATCGTGGACCTCGCCCACGATCTCGTCGGGCAAGATAACAGTCTTGCTAAGAAGGGACTGGTTAAAGGAAATGGCTGGGGAGTGTATAAAAGGAGGAAGAAAACCTAGAACAAGGAGGAAAAAAGAGAGACGAAAAATCAACCCAGAAAAACAGAGTTAAGAACAAAAAAAAACAAAGAAAACAGAGCACAAATCCAAATACATAGAGAAAGAGAGAACAAGAGGGCAGCACACAGTGAGGAGAATTATCCTTGAAATTGTCTTCGGACCTGCAAACAAAGAAAAAACCCGGATTCAGCCAAAGAACACTCACAGCAAGCCGGAATCTTCTTTGTAGTTTTAGAAGCTACTGAGAAATCAAGAAGGAAAGCACAGACAAGTGGTCACAGAAGGAAGACTAGAGGAAGAAGTAGGCGAGAATCATCATCAACACTGCAAGCATCTTCGGTATCCAGAAGCAGCATCTTCGATCTCCAGAGGCAGGTATGACTTCGTCCCCTTTGCATCTTCATTTTAAAAAGTAATTCAGTGTCACAAGAACACTGTGTGAAGGTAATTTAATTACCTTCACCAGTGGTCGTGCACGCATGAAATTCACGCGTGCCTTTAATTTTTTTGCCAAGCCGGGTCACAGGCCTGGGCTGGCTGGGTCTAGCCCAGCTTATATGGGCTGAGCTGGGCCCAGCCTAAAAATATATAATAAAAATTGTGTATGTAAAAAAAATTCATTTTTTTTATTTATTTATTGACGCCAAAATCAGAATAAAAATATCAATTCAAATTTATTTCATTGTATTTTATTTAGTTATATAAAAATAAAAAAATATGCGTGCAAAAAAAAAAACATAACATAAGATAAAATAAAATAAATTTATTTGGTATATTCACTGACGCTAGAGTCAGGAATAAAAAAAATACTAATGTAAATTTATTTTATTTTATTTTTATTTAGCTATATAAAAATAAAAATAATGCGTATGTGTGAAAATTAAATTGATTTTATTTGTTTATTCACTAATGCCAAAGTCAGAAATAAAAAAAAATGATGATTTAAATTTATTTATTTTGATACCTATGTAATATTTGTCAACGCTAGAGTTGAAAATATCCGTAGTTGAATATTCACTGGTACCAGAGTCAGGAATATTACACATAAATAATCATAGTATAAACCAACAAAAAAATTTAAGGTAAAACCAATAATGCAGTCGATTTTAGATATGATATTTTAGAAATGAAAGTATCTTCCTTTTACTTTAATCATTCTTGTACCATCAATTCTCTGTTGATTAGTTAGGGTTCCTAATAATCATAGTAATCATAATACTAGATGGCGACTCCTTAAATAAAAAATATTCTCATTAAAAAACAGGATGCCAGAAATCTGTTCTTTCCAAAGATTATATAATTTTTTAAGGCCGTCGCGATGTCGAGTGCGACAAAATAGCGACTCTACTAGGGACTAATGGACTAAGCTTTGCCTTTTGTATGTCAATTGCTATAATATTTGTTATGTTATGTTTATTTATTTATTTTTCTTGCATTTTACTGCTTTAGCATGCATTCTTGTTTATAATGTTATGCATCACTTCAAAAGCACACACTTTACAACCTAGGATAAGTAGGGGAGTAACAGTACCCCAATGGCTTTAACATGGGTAAGACTCGTGAAACCATCCAACTCTCGCTTGATTGTTTACTTAGAAGTGGTTGATGTGTCAAACTGATATTACTCAGGTCCTCTATCTTCACACTACTTGTAAGCCTTATATCGACCTTTCAAGGACGATCACTGAGCATGCGAGAGACCCTTTAAAACTAGATAATGACCAACCCTTTGATGCACTCAACAATTAGGATCCTCCTATTAGGTTGTTATCCCGTAAAGGATGAGTCCGTATTTTATACATATTTTTTAATTTAATCAATATTTTTGCATAAATTGCATGATTTACAAGAAGCAAGTTGGAATATAGGTTCCCCATTGAAACCCACCTATAACAATCATTTGAGAAAAAGACAAATAAAAAACTAAGAAAAAGCCCAATCGGAAGCCCAACACCAAAAAGAGGTGGACAATCTTAAAGAAGTCGCAAGGCTTACTAGTCTACTCAAACAGGCCTTGAGAGACAAATCTGGAAAAGCAACACATATAGTTCAGCCTGAAGTTATGCCCATAAATCCCTTCAATCCACAGAATCTGGGGGCAAATGGATTCTCATCTAATCTTCAATAAGCTATGCATTTCCAACCAGCATACCCCACGAGAATACTATTAACCATTAATTCTATAGAGAAGGAATCCCAAAGCAAAAGGGCAAGATGGTAAAAGAAGATGGTCTGAACAAATTGGTTGCCTTAAAGCAAAAGATGAGGGCATTTGAGGAAATTCGCCTAGATGATCCTATAAAGGCTGTTGAGATGTGTTTGGTGCCCAACGTTGTCATTCCTAAAAAGTTTAGAATGCCAAAATTTATGAAATATACGGGAACTTAATGCCCTATAACTCATCTCAAAGCATACTACAACAAAATGACTGAGGTGATTGATAAGGAGAAACTGCTGATTCATTTCTTTCAAGATAGCTTGAGTTCCTGCCCTCACTTGGTATATGCGGTTGGACAATACCAAGGTTAAAAGATGAAAGGATTTAGTTGATGCCGTCATGAGGCAATATAAGTTTAATATAGATATAGACCCTGATCGGTTAAGCTTGCAAGCTATGGAAAAGGACAATAAGCAGTCCATAAAGGAATACGCTCGAAGATGGAGGGAGGTAGCTGTACAAGTTAACCCTTCTATGTTGGAAAAAGAGATGATCAGTTTATTTTCCAATAGCTTTAAAGCTCTGTACTTTGAATACTTGGTTAGAAGCTCTGCACAACATTTCATTAACTTGGTTATTATAGCTGAGAGGATTGAACAAGCCATTGGGTTAGGTAAGATTGCTAACCCGACTGAGAAGAACGTGTTCACTAAAGGTGGTTGCCAAGGCATTTATCATTCCTATAGCTAATTGTTTCACATCGACTCCCAGAAATCAACTATCTTGAAGATAAAGAAATCAATTATCTTGAAGATAAAGCTATGGTGATATTAGGTCAAGAATGATCTACAAATGACTTCAATTGACTATTGAAAAGATGCCCTTGTCAAGGAGAATGAACAATTGAAAAATTCCAGAAATTACAATCAATGATCACTAAATGTTTAACCCCTTTATGTGTTATCATGTCAGTGTTCATAGCCCAAGATGTTGGCATAAGTTCTTTGTTATTAAACTTCTTTTCTAGAGTTTCAATGAAATAATCAGTTTGTCATTCAATCATACTCACGACCAAGCATTATTCATTTTCTTAAGAGAGTTTTCTTGTAAAAACTCATAAACACATCTTTGAAGCCTTGCACGATCTTATAGACGCAATTCATCTCTCTTATCAAAATCAGTTTCCTTATTGGAGTTTTGAAAAATTGATCTAGCATTTTGATTTCAAAAGTAATTTGATGTTTATTCAAAAAATGATATTTTTGACATTCTACTTGTAGAATGACAAGTGAATCAAGCAACTCCATCATTGAGCTGACTAAATTATAAACAAAAAATTGTGAAAAAAAAAGAAAAAGAAAAAAGAAATGAATAAACACCCTTACCCCATTACTCTTGAATCATGTGTTTTTTTAAAATGTATGAATAATGGTATGTAGTGAACTTATTGCTCATAACTCATGAAATGCATCTTTGCAAAGAATAAACCATCACACTATACGAGGTCAAAGTTTATAGATCATAGCTGCTTGCGCTTGAAATGAGGAAAAGGTCATCTTTGTTATTCCTTTCACGTTCTAAAATAA